TATATATATATAATATATATATATATAAATATATATAATATATATATATACAATATATGTATAATAAGAGTATATACAGGTATATAGTGTACATAATATGAGTAATAATATATTATATATAATATAGATAGATAGAAAGATAGATAGATAACTATATTGATGTGTATACATAATGTATATAAATATATATGCACATGACAATATCAACATCTTCAGAAAATCAAATGATACAAAAAATTGTTTAAAGATTCTCATTTTTTAGGTGAGGAGCAGGTGACTTCTGCATGACGATTATACACAACCAATCCTTTTAATTAGGCAAGTCATCTAATGCAGCAACGAAATCATTAATGGAAAGACACGCACGCATGTATTGTTTCTGTGTTTGTGAGAGGAGTGGATAGGGGAGAGATAGAGAAATAGAGATAGAGATGAGAGAGATAGAGAGAGATAGAGAAGAGATAGATAATAGAGAGAGAGAGAGAGAGAGAGAGAAGAGAGAGAGAGAGAGAGAGAAGAGAGAGAAGAGAGAGAGAGAGAGAGAGAGAGAGAAGAGAAGAGAAAGAAGAGAAAGAGAAAGAGAAAGAAAAGAGAAAGAGAAGAGGAAGAGAAGAGAAAGAGAGACAAGAGACTAGAGACAGTGACACGAAACAAACCACAGAGATAGAAAAAAAAAACTCAAAATGTACACGTATCCCTAAAACCTAAACCATACCAGAGAAATTAGCATTTGATTTGCGACCCACACGATCCACACAGACAGGAGGAAATAGAAACTCAAAAGATAATACTCACGGCGCTATACTGGTGCTCAATTCAAGGACTTCGCAAATGATCAATATTTATTTATCCGTCAATAGGATACCATCTTGAAATTGATACACAAAGTTGATGGAGAGATAACGTCGGTGTGCAATGCAAGGGAAATAAAGGTGGGGGAGAGAAAGTGAGGGAAGGAAAGATAGAAGAGGACGAGAAAGTGAGGGAAGGAGGAGAGAGGGAAAGAGGAAGAGGGGAGAGGGAAAGGAGGGATGGGAGGGGAAAGGAGAGGAGAGGATGGGAAGGGAAGGGAGAAGAGAGTTTGTTTGGGCAAGCATGAGAGAGGGAAGGGGAGAGAGAGAAAAGAGAGAAAAGAGAGAGAGAAAGAGAGAGAGAGAGAGAGAGAGAGAGAGAGAGAGAGAGAGAGAGAGAGAGAGAGAGAGAGAGAGAGAGAGAGAGAGAGAGAGAGAGAGAGAGAGAGAGACGAATAATAGGAAGGACTCCTACCTGTTGAACTGCAAAAGACCCAAACAAATTATTTCTTCAGAACAAAATTGCTCCAACACCTTAGGACAAAGTTCACGACCCCCTGCGAACAGTCCAATCTATATCCCCTTTCGCAGCGAGGTCAGAGGTCAGCTCACTCGTGTGATCCCCTCACATCTCGGAGAGGACACTGCCCTTGTCCCTCCAGCGTGTCCCATTCCGACGGTCGTGTCTCAGTTTCTCACGCCGTCGCCGATGTCCTAACATGCTGAGAGGGTTAACCTTTGCCCACAACTTTCACCTCCTTTACCCCCTCGGACTTATCCTGCACATTCACTGCCCTTATTGAAACGTTTATTTTTCCCCTTCGTTTCTAACGTTGCATACTGGAAAAAACGTTTTGACGAAGAAACATTTCACCTTTTTTAAGTTTCCCACACACATCCCCCGTCCTACCCACCAGGATCCTCCTCCCCCTCTCCCTACCCTTTCATGATTTGTGTAGCAGATGCAGTCGCAGCTGAGGCAGACAGACCCATCGTTAGAGAGGAACTTGCTCCACTCACCTGCTGATAATGATGCGCTGAGGCAAGCAGTCTCCTCTTGATTTTCTGCGGACTTTCCTGTACATAACTTAGGTGTTTGGACACCACGTGCTCGGCGCTAGCTTATCTTAAAGGGAGCTACAAGCGGGTCCGCCTCTCCATGGTTCAAAACAGAGATCAGCAGTCAGTCTAGTTCTCAGATATCACTCTCTCTAATATGTGAACACCTCCGCTCTCGAACTGCACTTCCTTAGGGTTAGAATGCGCACTCCTAACTGCAGTCTACTCGTCTACGAAGGCGTAATACATTATCAACTGCTCTGCAGACTCGTAGCCAGTCTTGTTTGACAGGAGTCTGACTGGTGAGTGTCGGGAGGAGAGAGGAATATGTGGTGTAATGGGGTAGTGTTGGCTC